ACGAAAAAAAGAAGAACCAAACTAGCATCAGATATTTCTATTAGAATTCCCTAATAATAGAATTGATATTTAATACCTTACGTATGTTGCAATAAAACTCATGAGCTGGAGATGGATAGACATGTAAAAGGACAGGCCTTCCTTATCTTTTCGGTCGGTCTTACGATGAAGCCATTGGCCTGTTGTCTCTGTTAAAACTTAGAGCAGATAATTTTCAACACCTGATCATAATTTTCCAAGGAGCTATTGTGCTAGCAAGTGATTCTGGAGTTCATCAGGGTTTGGCTGTGCACTTTCTCCATGAATGAGTCTTGGCAGTCTTGAGCTGGCTGATTTATTCCAATGTTACGCTTGCTGGAGATGTTCCATAAGGCTATGGATGGGAGAAGACAACTAATACTGTAACATACATGCAGTCATATGCAGAGGGATTTCTATTCAAAACAAAATGCCTATCATAATATTTATATTTTGACACGAGATGATATGATATCTTAAAAGTACAAAGAAATCTTGTAATATTCCAAATATTATAATGTCAGATTTTGTTGATAAACATTGCATCACTAATCTTTGTTTGGGCTTTTAATTTTTTCCCTTCTCAAAGATAAAAATGTGTAGTTGTTTGTGTGTAGGTGGACAAGCAAGTATATGGAAAAATAGTAAGGTAAATGTAATTATTTGTCAAGAACTTAAAGACAATTTCAGAAACCATTTAATTTCATCAACAGTAATTTCTGCACTTAGCTTTGCCATCTAAAAAACGACAATAAACATAGCTACCGAGGACAGGACATAAAGTGCGGTTTTGGTTTTTGATACCATCTCATCAGTGATTGTAGATTAATTGTTAACTTCCTTGGAACAAAATGGAATTTATTAAAAAATTTATGCTAGCTTTCCCTGAGTAAACAATTTATCCTTCCTCACTGGGCTGAAGGCAGGTTTAGGCCATGAAGGTTAATGCATTTTTCCTGTAGAGCTGGATTAAAGAGTGCGCTTGAATAGTCAAGTTTCCCCAGTAGTGTTAGAAAGCAGCAATTAAAGGTGGAAGCTTAGTGATTTCAAACTAACTTTCAGGCATCGATGATGGGCTTCTGTGGAGTGTCCATGAGGCAGAAGCTCCTGGGATACCTGTCTGCATGCAGCTATGCAAACAATGAAATTTGTTCTGAATCGTGCCAGCGCATTAATCTCGCTGTTAGAGGCACAAGGTTTGTAAATGAAAGGAAAAAAAATTGCTTGCAAGGGGAGAAGAAAACAGTATTAGTAGCGAGTGTGGTTTTGAAAGACATGAAGCTTTTATTGATCCTTAAGTGGCTCATTCACTAGTAACCAATTTTCCTTAAAGGCTCAGAAAGACATTTTTTATGAACCCCTCGATTGCAGTAACGTGCACTCTTTGACTCAGACTTAAGAACAAAAACCACACACAATCATAAAAACCAGATTTCTCCTGTACCTTGCAATTTTTATGAATTAAAAATGGATTTAAATCTGGAATGTTTAACTCTTCTCTCAGGTCTACCTGAGCAAGGACTAGCAACACTTCCTAAGCAAAAAATGGCCACGAAATATGTCCAAGTACACTTACATACCCAAGTTCAAAACAACTTAGTATTTATCACCCACATGTCCTCAGCCACCGTCTCCCCTCACAAATAATAATCACTGTTGCAATCATAAAAGTTTTCAAGATATGGGTAAAGATGAGCCACTACTATTTAAACCTTTGAGACCATCCTCTTCTGCCATGTAACTCTCTTTCTGTGTGTAAATCAAATTATTCAGGAGTCTGCAGCAGTCACAGTGGACCATGGGCCACAGTCACAAACATGAACCTAGAGATTTTTCTGCTGAGCCAATCTTCCCACTTGCTCTGAGGAAGTCAACTGAAAACTCACATACGTCACTCAGTACCCTTTCAGACAGGTCAATACTGACGGAAAACTCCCTTCTGCTCCGTAGAAGTGTACCACACCAGATTTAGACACCTGCATTAACTAAGGAAGAAAACTCTTTATTTTACTGAATAGCAAAGACTTTCCATTCACCTTCCCCTGTTGTTTTTTCCATAGCACAAAAAAAGTATAAATAATTGAATTATCAATACACTATATCTGTGTCTAATCCATCCACAGTCTGGAAGTTAGATAATTCACCGTAACTTGCAAGAGGCAGCATATCTCCAGCTTGCTTTATATGTTGAGTTTGCCTTCTGCAAGTTACTCTATTGTGTGTACCACATACTTCATTGAGTATACCATACACCATCTGTCATGGTAGTACAGAAATGAAGTTGAGAACCATAGCCTTGAGAAATATTCTCCATTATGACATAATGAAGAATTATATATTTAATAAAAGCTCAGAAGAAGCAAAATAAAACATTACTTCAGAATGCAATAAAGCGCTCTCCTCTGGTAAATCTGTCTCCTTTCAAGAGTCTTTCTCATTTCATTAGCAGTACCTCTATATTTTGAGTCTCTGAGGCATTGTCAGAGGGGTTTAATTATTGCTTGTATTTCATGGCAAAAGCACCTCCTAAAATGCAAGTCATGATCATTCAGACTATTGAACCGGCATTAATCCGTTGCTTCCTGCCCCTAAGAATGGTACACTGCAGTACCAGTGTATCTGAAGAAAATACCAACAAAATTCAAACATGACAAGGTTAAAAATCAATTAAATTATATATCAACAAGTAATCTAAAGAGCCTCTCACTTATTTGCCTTGATTTTCTTCCTGAAGACTGAGGTATAAGCACTTCTGTTACAGTGCCAATCTGCATTTAGCAGAACACCCATTACAATTCCTTAAAGTCCAATAAGGCTTCTTGGATGCAGTCTTATTTCTGTCAAGTCGTCTGATGGTGAATATAATTCTTCTCTTTCATCACTCGAGTCAGCACTCTTCCTTTTCTGCTTCCATCTCCAGATTACCATGCTTTATACATAGTGGTAGGAGGGCTCCTCTGTATATTTTGTGCTTTGTAAAGTTACCGTTTTCCATCCATCTCTGTAGTCTTCACTAGATCCTGTCTCAGAAATCTTTACTTTAAATTTAAGTAAGGAATAACAAAACACTTGGCAAATTTTCCAGTAGAACAATTTTTACAGCAATGAGACTAATATTGACAATATAATTCAAAATGGTTTCCCCAAATAAATTTGAAATATATGAATTGATAAGAGAATCACAACAGTTTTATACAAATGCTTTTTTTTTGCTACCGAAGTCCCTTGCAAGCCTGAAATAAAATCCCATGTGAAACAGAAGAAAGGTAAGCGTGGTGTGGGGTCTGATTTAACTTTGCCATTTGAAAATGGCTTGGAGGACTGTCTGTGTAGAGAGAACCACTGGTAAGTCTCAGCAACAGTATTTGTATGTGTGGTGGCCTGTATAGAAATGACTTCATCTGTCATAAGAGTCTAAGATGATGTAACAGCCCACCTGGCACTGGAAACTGTATCATCTTACATGATTGTTTGGAAATGCCCGGTGCCCTCTAGTCTGGTGTAAAATGTGGGCTAAGTCCTTGCCAAGAAACATTTAGAAAAAGAAAATCAGAGTAAACTCTGTCAGCTGATTCTGAAAAGTTGTTAAAACTGCCCTTAACTGTTTTTTATGTCTAGCTGTCTGATACTGGGACTTACACTTGTGTTGCTACAAGTTCCAGTGGGGAGACATCTTGGAGTGCTGTGCTGGAGGTGACAGGTAAGCGATGTCCGGGGGCTGTTTTTCAGTTGGCACAAAATGAAAGTGTAGACTATATTAGAGCAGCCTAAGTCAAATAATCCGTTCTAGAAATTCTTGGATTGAGATGGAGAATTTTTAGGCGGGAAGGCTGGGTTCCTTCACACGCCTTGCATTTCACTGCTATTATCTTTAAATGCCCATTGACATTGCAAAAATTTGGATTTGTCTCCAGTGACAGAGGTATGCTATAACTCTTCTAAACAGGAGTACTAATAAACTGTGGATTTGTCCAGTAATTGGCTTGGGCAAGAAAACTATTATGCCTACACAGAGTCCTATCAAAGTCCAATGTGCTCTCTGTGAATACTGGAGTTGATCTGGATATAGGAACTTTCTTAGCCTTCTAGTAACTGAGGTTTTGATATTTTTTGTAAATTTCAGCAAGGCTGGGCTTTTTTGTTATTCTTTCTTTTCTTTTCTTATATATTTATGTATAACTTTTTGAGTTTCATGGTTTTTTTCTTTCAGTACGAACCTAAAGAATGATAGCTCTTCATCCAAAAATATACGTGGTAATGCAATTGTTGACTTAGTCCTTTAGAGATTAAGAACACTGGTTATGCTCATTTTGCAGATGTTTGGCATGTTTTTCCTTTTAATCTTCTACTTTGATCAAATTTACACAATCAAGGATAAAAAGTAATTGTTCTGTATTTGCCCCTTACAGAATCCGGTGGAGCAACAGTCAGTAAAAATTATGATATAAATGACCTCCCTGGGCCACCATCCAAACCTCAGGTCACTGATGTTACTAAGAACAGTGTCACCCTGTCCTGGCAACCAGGGACCCCTGGAAGCCTACCAGCTAGTGCATATATCATCGAGGCTTTTAGGTATGTGAATTATTCCACTTTTAATCTTCCTTTCTAATTTTGGTTAAACCCTGATACCAGCTGTTCTCCTGGTATTGTGGTGTTCTTTTGGACTCTACACGTATCATTAGAAGCTCATTAAAAGACCCACTTCCTATGGCAGGCATTGATTCTTATTTTTTAATTTTTTCTTTCCAATTTATCACTTTTTTCTAAGTGATTAATCAGAGAAGCCTCTAACTATTTCTTCAGGTCAACAGGAATATAACAGGACAATGCAGTCATTATTTGTTACTTTTCCCTTAGCATTGAGGATCAGTGAGAGCCTCCTGTGGGAATGCTGCAGGTCAAATCATTTGGGCCAGTGTTATCTTGACTATTGTAGTACAAATAATCTGAAAAGAAATGGATAATCCTGAAGCCTCTCTGCATACTTTAATTCCCGTTCTTGTTAAAGCAGCACCTATTAAAGAGTGAAAGCACTTTAAATTTCTATTTTTTACTGGTTTAGATAGACTAAAACTCTTAACTGAAAAGGCTAGTGTTTATAATTTAGGCTTTCATCCTCCAGCCTGAGGTTGAAGAGAATCCAGCTGCTCCCTTCCACACAGCAGCACTTAATACGTGGTAGGAAAGAACTCCTGGGCCCCGGTTCAG